TTATTCTAATGAGATTATTAGAAAAGTATGAAAAGGCATTTGCACAAAGTCGTTTGTCTGGGTGCTGTTTATAATAACAAAAGTGAGAAGCAACTTAATGCCCATCAACTGGAGAATGGCTAAATACATCATTGCATATCCATCCATACAAGTATAAACTTTGCAGTCATTATAAATGATGATATTCTATATTTATGAATATAAAAAGATATCCATAAAGAGCTAGTAAGTGAAAAGAAAGTTAAAGCAGCTTTTAATTTTTTAAAAATTTTATGTAGGCTTGTGCATGCACATATATGTCTATGTGTGAATGTGTGAGTATGTATGTGTGTGCGCTAAGAGTGGATTGCCTATAAGCTTATTAATCAAAAGGTTAGTATAGTTACTTCCCTGGTTGATGGGACTTTGTATTATCTGCTTCCTTCTTCATGGTTTATTTTATTTACAAATTTTACTACAAATTGTACATGACTTTTTACTCTAAATAAAAAAGAAAAAAAAAGACTTTCATTCTGAAAAAAAAATTAAGAGAATACACACTCTGTGAGAATCCAGTTAGGAGTCGAATGCAATCAATGAAGAATATAAGACAATACTGTATATAAACAAATACCATAAGTCACTAGATGTGGAGCAACACGAGTTGGGAAGAGAGGAGAAGACACAGGAATTTTCCAGAGGAAATAAGACCGGATTTGAGCTTCGAGAGGAGACACAGACACTGGGTAGGGAGAGAGAAAGGACAGTATTTCAGGCAGAGTGGGCAATATGAATAAGAAAGGAAGGTCTTATCTGGTGGGCTGGTGTTGTTTAGTGACAGAAGATGAAATTGCACAGAAAATTCAGAACCAAAGTATTTTCTAAAATCTGCAACAGCCACAGCATGCACATGTGATTGTGTTAACCTGTTTTGGGTAAATTAATTAATTAATTAATTTATTTATTGAGAGAGAGCACAAGCAGGGGGAGGGGCAGAGGGAGAAGCAGACTCCCCACTGAGCAGGGAGCCCAGTGTGGGGCTCGATCCCAGGACTCTGGGATCATGACTTGAGCCAAAGACAGATGCTTAACTGAATGAGCCACCCAGGCGCCCCCAGACTCTTTTTTTTTTTTTTAAGATTTTATTTATTTATTTGAGAGAAAGAGAAAGAACATGAGCGGGGGAGAGGGGCAGAGGGAGAGAGGGAGAGGCAGACTCCCTGCTGAGCAGGGAGCTGGACCTGACCCATCCCAGGACCCTGGGATCATGACCTGAACCAAAGGCAGACACTTAATCGACTGAGCCACCTAGGCACCCCGTTTTGGGTTATTTTAAAGCAGAATTCCGATGCTGCTGGTGGGTTTTTCTTGTCAAAGTACTAAGCAAGTCCCTCATTATTACCATTTTTCTCTCTTCTTAGTCCATTTGGGCTGCTATAACAGAACGCAGTTTTTGAGGGGGTGCTTATCAACAGAAACTTATTCCTCACAGTTCTGGAGGCTGGGAAGTCTAAGACTGAGGTGTTGGCAAATTCAGCATCTGGCGAGGGTCTGCTTCCTGGTTTGTAGGCCACTGTGTTTTCACTGTGTCTTCCATGGAGGAAGGGGTGAGGGAGCTCTCGTGGGTCTCTTCCATAAGGACACCAGTCCAATTTATGAGGGGCTAATCCTCATGACTTAAGCACCTCCCAAAGGGCCCTAATACCACCTAATACCATCACATTGGGGTTAGGTTTCCACATATGAATTTTGGGGGCACACATTCAATCTATAATATCCTGGTCTCTTCATTCCTATGGTTAGGGGGTCTCATGTCTCCCTCAACACTCACTCTGCCTCTTGTCCTCTGCCCTATTTTTTTTTTTTTAATAATAGGCTATAGCCCTTAAGAACATGTCTTTGGAACTGGATCTGATTTGAATCTCAGTTCTTATCACTTATCTATAAACTTCAGGCAGCTCACATGACTCTTCTAAGCCTCCACTTCCTCATCTGTGAAATGGAACTAATAGTAGTTAATGCTGCACTGGAGCTGAGTGAGAAACAGACAGCTGATCGACATGTTTCCTCCTCTTCTCTCCCTTCTTTTTGCTATGGTTTTCTGTCTCTGGCCATTCACCCGGGAAGTACCAAAGAACTTCTAAAATCTGAATTCTGGACTTCACTGAATTCATTAGACCACCATTTATTACATATTTATTGTGGTTACTAAAAGCAAGGGTGTATATACCATCCTTTCCATATGCATATTTTAATAAGGACCTTCCAGAAACACATTTCTTTAAGGTGGAAAAGATGTCTTAAATGGTGAGAGTGTTAAGCCTTGTGGGAGAGAAAGGTCTCTAGGACACTGAACACATAGAGAATGTGTGCCCTCTCATTTCTGTGTCATAATGTTAGAGATTTTCACACATGCTGAATGATCTGATTAGCATATCCATCATCTGAAATGGGTTTAATGGAAGCCATTATGCCCACTTTCCATTTTGGAATCTAAAGCCCAAACAGGATCATGATCTAACATAAGATGATTAAAAACAAATTCTAAAAGCTACAATTTAGAGATCATCTACTATGTACCAAGTACTTTACATGCATATGTCTTGAATGCGCAATCCATACATTATGGATAAGGCTTGGACTTAGAAAGGCTGAGTAACTCATGCAAGCTAACACCAGGAATGACGAAGCTACGCTTCACACCACATCTCTTTTATTCTAATGCACTGCCTCTAGATTGATTTATTCAAGAAATATTATCTATCAGGCATTTTGATGTTATTGAACAAGAAGAGAGAAATGAAACATTTTAGCGTATAAAATTAATAACCAACACTTAAAAAATAGTGCCAGGAACTGTTCTAAGAGTTACCATGTATTTGCTCATCTAATTCTCTCATTAACCCACTGTTATTGTCATCACAATTTTACATGCAAGGAAACAAAGATGCTAAGCATTTTGGCCAAAACACAAAGTGAATAAGTATCAGAGATTTAGAATACTAGTCTGGAATCCTTAGCCAGTACTTTATGCATTCTTGCATATTGTGTGCTGCTGTATTTAGCAATGGTGATGATACATGGGTCAGAGTCTGGGAATCAGGTATCACAGAATATTTTCTGGGATTTCATATGAATACACCACCCTATACCTACAGTGTCTGGTAGGTGCCTGAGCTTGCTGGTACTTCCTGGGGGCTCAGAGCTCTCGCACCTCTTTAATAGGAACCAAACTGGAGTGAACTTAGGTCAGTGGTTCTCAAATTTAGCTGTAATCACTTGACGGGTTTTAAAAAATACTGATGACTGGATCCTATGGCCCAAAATTCTGATTTAGTTAGTCAAAGGCATGGCTTGGCATCAGGGTTTTAAAAACATCATCTCAAGCATTTTAATGAGCAGTCAAGTTTGAGAACCACTGACCTAGATCAGCAATTCTCAGTGAGGTCCTCAGACCCCAGGAAGTTCTCTACAGGGGCTCCATGACATACAAACTACTTTCATAATAATACTGAAACATTAGTTTGTTCCTTATCTACTGTGTTGACATTTGTTATGATGGTACAAAAACAATGGTGGGTAAACGCACTGGTGTCTTGGTATGAATCAAGACAGTGGCACCCAATTTTATAGAGATGCAATTTCACTGCCACACACTCATATTTAAAAAAATCAGTTTCACTTAAGAATATTTTCAGTGAAGCAGTACAAAGTATTAATTTTGTTAAATCTTAAGGATGCATTATTTTAATACTCTGGGTAATGAAATGGAACATATGCATAAAGTACTTCTGCATACTGAAGTAGAATGCTTATGAGTGCTTGTCTTGAAAAAGAGCATTTGTGTAATTATTTGAGTTGCAAACTAAACTAGACCTTTTTTTTTTGGTGGAACAGCATTTTTTACTTCAAAGTATGACTAGTAGGCAAATCATGGTAATTTAGACTTGGGTATTTGGTAGACATTTCCTCAAAAATGGACAAAGAAAGAATTTACCTTCACGGAAACAAACAGACAATTTTGTTTGTTTGCTGCCAGTGATAAAATTTCAGCTTTTACATGAAAATTAAAATTGTGGAAAGCTTGCACCAGCTGCTGTGAGCTATGCTGCTACTTTGCACTTAAAGACTTTTCTGAAAGGGTAAGGGGGGGTATTTAAAAAGTAATTTTTTTTGACAGTGGATAATGAAATGTAGTGAACGTTTAGAAGATTGGCATAACTCAGTGAATCAACATCTTCCAAAATGATCAATACATGATATTAAAAAATCATGCAAGTACAAAAGACTCATTCAATGTGCACGATAAACCAATGGATTTTTATAGAATGGAGCGTATATGTGATATGTTTTTAGAGTCCACACCGCAATTAACCTACAGCTGTAGGAAACCACCTTTGAGTTTGGTATAGTATCAGAGAAGATTATCTATAGTTCTCTGGAAAGACTATTGAAATATTACTCAATTTTTCAAGCTATATAGCTATGTAAGATAGGTTTTCTTCCTATCTTTCAACCACAGCAATAAATCCTAAGAAACTAAATATAGAAGCAGATTTGAGAATCTAGATGTCTTCTTTTATGTCAGATATTAAAGAGATTTGCAAAAATGTAACATAATATTACTTTTCTCAGTACTTTTTTTGTTTGAGGTAATATAGCTATTTTTCATAAAAATGTTAGCATGTAATACATCTAATTACTATTTTAAGTGAATATTTTTAAATGATCAGTTTTAGTGTCTAACATAGTAAATGTCAATATGTAACCAACATAAACAAACTTCCTTTGGGGCACCCAAAAAATTTTAAGACAGCAAAGGGGCCCTGAGACTCAAAGTTTGTGAATTGCTGACCTAGATGATTCTGTCTTCTCAAGTGTTAATTTTTCCCATGACCTATGACTCCCATCCAGAATTGATTCTGGGTTGCCTACTGGATTAACTCTAAGCATCCATGTGGTGTCCTTGATCCAGTGACAGCCTCAAACATTCCTTGATGTACAACCCCTTAACCCCTTACCTTTCTGCCTGCTGACAGGTAGGGAAATAACTCTTCTTCTCATGTCCTGTGGAGATTGTTTTTAGGTGAGATGTCTCTAGGTGGCTGCTTGGTCACCCAGGAACAGGGTTCTTCCAGCTCTCTCCTCCCCAGGATGCCTGGGCATTTCCTAGAAGAGTGAATCAAAGTAGGTTCAAGAACAGCCTCACACTGCTTCTAGAAACACGGCTGCTTTTCCTCTCAGCCATGTTTGCTGACTAAGGTCTTCCTGCCTGGGATTACCCATTCTGAGGTGCACTGTTTCTTCCTGAAAGTTGGATTCTTCTGGTTAATTCCCCAAATCTATTACATATGTGTATATATAAGCCTAAGCCTTTATTATGGGCAGGGCTTGTGCTATTTTTACCAGTGGGGTTCCTTGTGATGAGGATGCACATCAGTGGAGTGAGTCTCTCTATCGGCACACGCTGACATCACTGAGCCTGGGCTGTGACTTACCTGGATGCCTGTAACCTTACTGAATACTTTCACACCTAGAGTATTACTCAACAGAGGTGTTGACAACAACTTGCTTCAGGTGCCACTCTGCATGTGATATGGGATCAGAAGCTAGCTCTACATTTGGTCCCTGCTTATTCTACTATAAGCCTGAAAAGAGAACACTTACTTGGATGCTGTGGGCTCCTTTATCTCTGACCTACTGCTCCCTGTATTATGCTCTGGGGTAAGGAGTCCTGGAAGAATCATCGATTTCATAATTTCCATCTTCGGAAGCTCCTCTGGTTTACTGCCTTAAATGGGACCACACACTTCTTTTCTGCTTTGTTAGCTTCCTCCCCAAGGACCACTGGAGACAGACACTAGGAAAGACACCACTAGAACCTTCTTGGAGGCATGGTAGCGCCCACCCATGCTTTATTTTCTGTTCTTTAATCTAAGCACTCCTTTCTCCAATTCTGCTTTACTTAAATGCTCTATTTGGTATTTTAAGCTAAATACTTTCAGAAGAAAGATACTTTCCATATGTGGCTCACAAATAAATGAGTAACCCAATCGGCAGAAGCTTTGTGGTCAATAAATACAGTGGCCTTGCTTCCTAGCTTCAGGGTCAGCTACAATATTCTGTGAGAATTGCAGCATAAACTCTGGCTTCTCATAATCATGTGAAATTCAGTGTTCACCAATTCTTTTGTGTTCCCAAACTCCCCGTGGCCTAACTCATGGCAGCTTATCTGAGTCAGGAGGCATCTTATAATATAAGAAAGCTAAAATTCTATATAACTAAGTGAGAATCACAGTCACAAGAATGTTGCTGGTCTGCTTTTATGGTAGTGTTGATGATTATAAAATTCATTTTTAGAGGCTGATCTCCTAGGTGGGGTTACCATCACCCACTTTCTTGTAATTCAGAAGCTAATTCTTAGCATTTTCTCTAGGTCATAAGTTCTGACCAATTTTTATTTTGGTCCCATCTTTATTGGACAAGGTCTGTCACATCAAAATGGGTTAGACTGGCCCTTACTCCAGTTCAGAATCCAACCTCCATGACCATCCGTGTGTCTACTGGTTGCCAGGCTCATGCCTCTCGTGCCCATGTTCCTTGGCCTTGTCTGCATTAGAAGTGCTCGAGCTTTGCATTACCAAATCCCTCTGTGTATTGTTTAGGAAAATGCTAGCCACTGTAATAATAAACTCCAAAATTATAGTAATTATAATAAATTATATTTCTCACTCTCCTAAGTCCCATGCAATTCTCTACCATATGGTGGTGATTCAGGGAGCCAGGCTCCTCCCAACATGTGGCTCCTCCCTTCTTCAGAGTCCCAGCATTCTTGGGGTGTAGCCCCAGATTGTGAAAGAGAGGATGGAGAAGGCACGTGTGCTTCTTGACTGTCTTGGTCCAGAAGCAATGTGCATTCTTTCCACACACATTCCATTGGGGAGAACTGTTCATACGGCCCACCAGGATGCAAGGGGAGCAAGGGAAGGTAGTTACTGGCTGGGCACCCATTCCCCACGTAATAATGCTATAGTATGTAAGGGGGAACATGATTTTTTTTATTGTAGTAAAATATACATATTATAAAAGTCACCACTTTAACCAGTTTTCAGTGTACAATTCAATGGCATTAAGCAACCATCCCTGCCACCCATCTTCAGAACCTTCTCATCATCCGAAACTGAAACTCTGCACCCATTAAACAATTCCCCATTCTCCCCTCCCCCAGACCCTGGAGACCACCGTTCTGCTTTCTGTGTTTATGAATTTGATGACTTTAGGCACCTCATACCAGTAGAATCATGCGAAATTTTCCTTTTGTGTCTGGCTTATTTTACTTAGCATGTTTTCAAGGTTCATCCATGTTGTAGCATGTGTCAGACTTTCATTCCTTTTTAAGGCTGAGTAATATTCCATTGTATGTCTACACCACATTTCATTCATCCACTCATCTGACAATTGACATTTGGGTTACTTTCATCTTTTGGCTGTTATTCTTAATGGTACTAGGAACATGGATATACAAATATCTCTTGCAGTACTTACTTTCAATTCTTTTGGGTATATACCCAGAGGGAGAATTGCTGGATCATATGGTAATTCTATTTTTAAATTTTTGAGGAACTGGCATATTGCTTTCCATAGCAGCTATACCTTTTTCCATTGGGAAGTACAAGTGTTAATGAACAGTTAACTACCTCTGTGACTCTCATGTTCATTAGCTCTGTGAATTTGTGCAATTAATTGACCTCCATGAGTCTCATTTTCCTCAGTTAGAAAATAACGCTAATACCACTTCACAGGGTTATTGTGGGATTAAAGAAAATAGTGTATGAGAAGCCCTTTGCATGTGGCTGGCACCTTATGTGTGATTAATGTACAATATTTCTTTTCTTTCTCATCTTGTACACTTAATCTCACCACATCTTACTTTTCCCCCATTCAATTCCCTCAGAGCTTTCATTGGCAAGAGTTAGCTACTCATGGATTGACAGATTATCCAGTCCAACCAGACCAAGTCTGGGTCACGTGCTTTCAGAGGAAGCAAGAATACTCAGTGGTTGAGAGTTTCTGTGGCTGGCTCGTGGGGAGAAGATTCTTAAACAGGAAGCCTGCAGCTGCACCCCTCAGTTTGCACTAGGAGATGCCATCCCTGCTAAATTAGGGCTGGGTCTTTGGGAAAAAAACTAGTCAACAACTCAGTGACTACATCATCCTTCTTAAGCTTCCCCACTTTACTTTTCATTAGCATTGCTTCTCCTGCTTAAATCATTTCCAAAATTCACACCTCCTTTTGTTTCTTACTATTTCAGACTGGCCAGGCTGATTTAAACAATAAGAGTCACGCAGGATACCCATCTCAAAGGCCAACTCACCAGTCCACGGGAATGTCAAAGTCAGACCAAATGGTGGTGCCCTCAGACAAAAATCAGTCCTGATCTCCCTTCACTCTGTTCTGTCCCATGCCTTCACACCGGCCTGTGGGGGCCTTCAAGGCTCTGCCTCTGTTGGAGCCAGAGACAAGGCCACTCTGTTCCTCCCACTCATTGGTGTCCGAATTTTGATTTGGGCCCTGCTGCCACCCTTTGTTAACTCAGGAAGTGATCGGGGACACTGACTTTCCCTCCAGGCACCAACTTCTTCACTTGCAAATTTATAGAGGTAACTTAGATCGGGAACTGAATTACATGATCTTGCAGACTTCCCCGAACTCCAAAGAGTCTCTGAGTCTCTGCTTTCCTTGGCAATTTGAGGTGCTGCGTGACGTCTTCCACACCTTTTTATCAAAGCTAAGAAGACATTTACCAGCAGGGAGACATTTTTTTCACACACAAATGTACTTGTGATCAAAATGTTTGAGGATTATTGTGTTCTTCCATGGCAATACACAATCAAACACCAGATGCTCAGCATTCAAGACTACAGAGGCAGCTGAACAGTTTGATCTCTTTCATCTGATAAACTGATAACGAAGAGGCTGACACAGCTACCTTGCTTCAGCTCAGCCTTGGCTCCCCTCAGACAGGCTGCGTTGGAAGTGTGCCTGGAGCCATCAATGAACTTGGCAAGGACAGCAACCACACTCTTGGGGTGGGGAAGTCTGAGTGATGGGGATGGCAGTGACATGAGCCGTACTCAGCTACAACACCGTAGGCACCGAAGCACGAACAATAAAAGCCAAAAGAACAAGAACAAATGGGAGTGGATGATTCCAGAGAGGTCTATGGGAAACTGTCAGAAGTTTTCTCCAATGCTTTTAAGTGGAATTATGAAGTAAGATTAGAACTATTTCACAGAAGGCAAAAATGAGACTTTGCAACAATGCCATTATTTGTTGTTTACAACAATAGGATTCCAAGAGGAATGCTGTAAAAGCATCTCTGTGAATCGGAATAAAGAAAACCTCACGAAGGTGGAGTTTGGAGGCCAGAAGTGGGAGCTCTCTCGAACCTACCACTCATCATCAATGGCAGACCCCAAGAGGAAGAGACTACCTTGCACGCTCTTGCATTCCCACAGGAAGAAGCTATACTTCACTGCCCCAGCAGAAGGAAGAAAGAGTTTCTTCTTACAATACTAGCCCAGCCCGTGAAAGACTGTCACAGCTCAGCCAATGAAAAACCACTACATTTCAAACTCCCAGTTTCCTCCAATCGACCTTTTGTTTCTAACAGCCCCTTCCAACTCCCCTTTTCACTATAAAATAGCACTCCTCTCCTCTGTTCTCCAGATTAGCTTGCATGTCCCAAATTACAAGTCTCTGTTATTCCTGAATAAGCCCGTTTTTACTGGTAAAATAACTGACAGTTTTATTTTTAAAGTTGCCCCCATCTGTACGGAAAATGTATTTCTTCTGCCACAAAAATGCCATAGGGAGGAGCATTTTAATATGGACGTAATACATTATTTGTAAACACAACCATGTTTCTTGATATTTTTAGCAAACAAATACCTTGTTATTTGTATCTAAATATCTCTACTATTTATTGCTAACCTCACCTGGATTCTGTCAAGAGTTAGAAAAATGGGCGTCCTCTGATGTGTCATGTCAACATCGGCCAGACTTTTGTGTTACTCTCCCTCATTTCTTTCAGGTCCTCTCATCTCCATGGTGTCCAGTTCTGAGGCTTGTTCCAGTTCCTGTATCAACAGACAGAATGGTTTCTTATATTTGTTCACACTCGTGTCCTACTGACTTCATGCTCTCCACCTCCGGGGGCTCTTGCATTTGAAAAGAGAACGGTGTTTGTGGCCACAATGCCTAAACTATAGAAATAAGCCTCAAATCAAGCAATTTCAGGCATAATGGCACCTGGCTTATTGAGAGAGATGTTTGAGGTCAGAAGAAGCCTCTAGTCACAGCACTCGGGTGACTACTCATGCTGCTTACAATTCAAGCATTTTGCACTGTACCCACAGCATTATCTTTTCTATTAAGCTTTATTATTCCCATGGGCTGGGTTTGAGGCTAAATTAGGTCGACATAAATCTCAGCTGGTGGTTGTGGATTCATGCTCTAATGAATGAGATCTGGTATAATTTGTCTGGAAATATGACTGTGAACTCCCTCCATCAGCTTCCATTTTCCTGCCTATCGGCTTTGGCAGATGATTTTGCACTGTTTTAATCACTTTAGGTAAGCTCTCAGCACTGAGCAACCATTGCCAGCAAAGTCTCTGCCCAGCAGCGACAGGATCCTGTGGGCCACAGAGAGATGAGTGAGGGAGGTCTGACTCCACTTATTTGAAAAAATAACTTTTCCAATACACAAAACTGCCATAATTCTACCACGCCAGGAACCAGTGGCAAAAATTAATGACGAGTCACCTCTCAGCTTTTATTCCTGTTGGCATTTTCCTGAACACTGGCAGTCCCATAACAATTGTTTTGAACTGACAAGAGGGGGACCATGAGGATGCCCTGGACTTCTGAAGGGGGTAGGAAAATCTAATGTGGGCTGGGTAAGTCACAGGGCTATCTTCAGGTGAATTACTTCTGGGGCCCGGGCTGGGGTGGTGGGCTGGGATGGGGTAAGAAGAACGTGGCAGAGTTGAACTCAGCTCAGGGGGGTTGGCTTTCCCCCTGAGCCAGTCCTTTGGGCAATTAACTGGTGCCCCCAGCCAGCCACAGTCAGATTTCTAGTACTCCATGCCTCAGTGTCTCATCCTGAGACGAGGCTTTCTCTTAAGATGAATAAAGTTGAAAGAGAAGTACTCTAGGAACGTGGAGGGTCTGCACACTGGATGCCAGAGCCAAGAAGATGGCGGCCAACACGGCTGTCTCTGTCCTCAAGTCTTGTTATTCTTTCCCAGTTTCTGTCCTCTTTAGTCAGATTTAGATCCTGAGTTTTCTTTAAACTGGGATTAGTGTAACACAGTGTTCTTTGAAAGTCTCACTAAATAAAAGACACTCTGAAGCATCTCTTGATGTTTAATAGATGTCAAATAATGGTAGTATGCTGTTATTAAAAACGTTTGGTTTCCTGAAGTGACTCAGAATTCACTTGTTTTTCTTTCTGCACAGAGACATCGATTTGGCAGTACAATGGCACCCCAGAAAGATATGGAGTGGTGAATAATTTAATAATTGCACAAAAACATTTTGCACTTTGACAAAGCACATAAAAACCTTTCAGTTTAAAATAAACTTTAGCTTATAGTCATTTTTTCCCCATTTTTTTCTTATAATCTCAAAGGTCAGAAAGAAAAATAAAATTCTTTGAACAGCGTATAAAAAGTAGAGTTTTATTAAAAGCAGTCCTAATCATAGGGCGCCGGGTGGCTCAGTCAGTTAAGTGTCCAATCCTTGATTTTGACTCAGGTCATGATCTCAAGGTCATGAGACCGAGCCCCACATCAGTGCTGAGCGTGGAGCTGCTTAAGCTTCTCTCTCTCTCTGCTATTCCCACCACCTCTAAACAAAACAAAACAAAACAAAAAACAGTCCTAATTAATTCTATATATCTGATCCATTTACTCCACAGAACAAAAGCTGGAAGCTTTTTACCTATAGTCGATGAACTCTGAATTTTATTTAGGGCTATTCTTATAAGCTGTGGTCCTGCCACTATCAGGTGTTAATATTTAGAGCGATGCCTGGTAAAAAAAAAACTTCCATAATCGGTTATCTGAACCAAATGAAGTTATTTCTATAAGGAAGGGCATTATGGGTTGAACCTGAAAAAGACATATGATTTTATGATTTCACATAATTCTGCATTCTGAACATGCATACTAGTTAATTTAAAAGATCTAAGATTTGTCTCACTTTCTTCGAAAGCCACTTGAAGTATTGAGAAAAGCTCAGGATGCATGCCAGTGGATCCAGATTTGAGTCTTGGCACTACGATTTACTCACTTCATAAACAAGAACAGGTTTTGTATTCTGTCACTTGAGATGGAATCAGCTTATTGTGTTCTCTTATCTGTCAGGGTTACCGTGATGTTCAAAGAAGATAACATGATATTCTTTGCAAATTGCAAGGGCTTTGTACAGGCTAGATTTTATTTATCAATGGTATAAGTCTAAGGAAACAATAGGCTGATGGTGGAAATGAAAAACATAAGGAAGGAGGGAAAATGAAATACATTTTTGAGTAGCCACTATGTATTGGGCATTTTAGAATTTTTCAGCACATGTAGTTCTTCCAATCTTGAGAATAAAATGATAAGCAATCCCTCAATTTCCAAATCAGAGTTAATGTAACTTGCTTAAGATCATATAGCTAGTACACACTGAAGTTTACGGTGCTCCCATTTATAATCTGTCTTTCCAGACAGAACATGTTTTTTCTTTCAAATGCAGTTCCCTGATGGAGAGGCTGATACACATATCTATTTACTCATTTGTTTGTTCAATAAACATCTTTTTTTGCATTGTTGAATTTTTATTTGAAGGATCTTATGAAGTTTTCCCCCCCGCCTTGGGTTTTTTTTTTTTTTTTTTGAGAATTTGGTAGGAAAATTTGCAGTCTAATAGAACAAAACACCCCTCCCTCTAAAGAAATAGTTAATTTTTTGTTGCTTTTAAAAAACTTTTTAAATTATTTTTTTATGATAGGCCTACGCTTTATTCAATAAACTGTCATGCTGCTTAGAATGTAGGTCCCTTGAAGGCAGGGTCTACACAGTGAACATATACTTTAAAACTAGTTTATCCTATAGACTCTTTCAACTTTTCTATCAGGGATTTCATGTTGACTGGTTTGAGCCCATAGGAATAACCCAACTATAGTGCTTCGATTTACCTCTTGTCTGTTCAGTTTATCTGACCTATCCATTTCCTCAGGCCTTTTTTTTTCTTCTTAAATTCCAGTATAGTTAACACACAGTGTACAACATAGGGATTCATCACTTCCATACATCACCCTGGTGGTCATCACGACAAGTGCACTCCTTCATCCCCATCACCTGTTTCAGGCATCCCCCCCCCCACCTCCCTCCTGGTCACCATCAGGATGTTCTCCATAGTTAAGAATCTGTTTCTCCTCTCTTTTTTCTTTGTTTTATTTCTTAAATTCCACATATGAATGAGATCATATGGTATTTGTCTTTCTCTGACTGACTTATTTTGCTCAGCATCATACTCGCTAGCTCTGTCCATGTCATTGCAAATGTCAAGATTTCATTCTTTTTATGGCTGAGTAATATTCCATTGTATAAACATACCACATCTTCTTTATCTATTCACCTATCGGTGGACACTTTGGTTGCTTCCATAATTTGGCTATTGTAAATAACTCTGCAATAAACATCTGGGTGCATGTATCCCTCTGAATTAGTACTTTTGTATTTTTTGGGTCAATACCCAGTAGTGTGATTACTGGATGATAGGGTAATTCTATTTTTAACTTTTTGAGGAATCTTCATACTGTTTTCCACAGTGGCCGCACCAGTTTGCACTCCCACTGAATGTGCACTAGGGTTCCTATTTCTCCACATTCTCGTCAACACTTGTTTCTTGTGTTTGATTTCAGCCATTCTGACAGGTGTGAGGTGATATTTCATTGTGGTTTTGATTTTTATTTTCCTGATGATGAGTGATGTTGAACACTTTGTGTCTGCTGGCCATCTACATGTCTTCTTTGGAGAAAGATTTTAGAAAGTATTAAGAAAACATTTATCATTCTTTTCTTTCTTCCTTGGAATGCTTGTGGTTCCTCAGTTAACCATGTACTATTATAGCTAAATTCCTTTTATTTGTTTGTATATTTTTATTGAGATTTAATAGATATATAACATTACATTAGTTTCAGGAATATAACAATGATTCAATATTTGTATCTATTGCAAAATGATGACTATAATAAGCCTAGTTAACATTTGTCACCACGTTCAATAACCATTTATTCTTTGTCAACAAGAAGTCATTGTTTTTGGTTCTGTTGGGGAAACAGAAATGAATAAAATGCAATCCTGTGCTTATGGAGTTAAAAATCCATGGTCTACAGTCGATTCTTGGTATTCCTTGCTGATGGTAGGGGGAACGATAATTGAAAACACTGGGAAACAGATGCTCTGCAAGTGGATTGTCAGACCAAGGATGAAATTCTCTAAGTCGCTGCCATTTCTAGTTAATTAAGAGCCAAGCAGAAGACTTTTGTTTTTTGGTTGAAGATAGAACAAGAATTGTCATACTCTCTTTTCTTGGTAACTGGAGTCACAAGGCTGTGTTCAAATCCTAGCTACACTTACCAATTGTATATACTTGGAAGGTTACTTCTCCAAGCTACAACTTCCTTATCTGTACAATGCACTTTTAACTGTAAAATTGGAATAAACCTACACTCCCAAAGTTGTTAAGAAGATTAAATGAGTGCGTGCGTGTGTGTGTGTTTACATGGTGTATAATGTATGTTAAGCACTTAACACAATGCCTACTTGGCAAGCAGTTCTCAAAGGATCACTATTATTATAATTAATTTGAGGACTCAGGATTTAAGGACACATAAGTCATTATTCTGAATGTCAGTTTTGATTGCAAAGGACAGCTGACCAAGATAGCATACTTACTTACTGATTGGGCTGAGTCTAGGAATCTCTTAGGTTTATTTACCCTTGATTATCTTACTAATTTGAAACTAAA